GGGATCGAACTTGGGTCCTTGTGCAGCAGGCAGTGAAACCACTGAGCTAAATCCCTGGCCCTAATGTATGCTTTTTTGAGGGGACAAAATTTAATATATTTTAAATGTCAGCAGAAGCAGCCAACTTCTTCTAGACACTTGTGTGGGTACCAGCTTTTATCTTCAAGTATGGCTACCTTCAAAGGCAGGGAAGATGACCAGATTGAAAGATACTGGAAAGATGAAAGCAGAAAGTTCATGGGTACCTGAACCTCAATTCCTTACTCTCCTTTATCCTGGCTACTGACTCCAATATAGCTAATGCCTCAAAGTACACAAGAAGTACAAGGACTCATTTTTTTTCATGCAAAGCCTCAGGAGCAGTGTTGACAAGGAAACCAATGAAGTGCCAGGCCACTACAAATGCCTCATTGAGAAACTCAGCTAGTTGCATCACTTCCATAGGGATACAATCCTTTCAAACTAGCTGACTGTGCCCCCAAGTTTTATTGCCTTGTATGTAGAGCTGGTTTGTGGCACCCTCCCAACAAAGGACACCTGGAGAAGAGTGTTACAAGTTAGTGCAGGGAAAGGAGGGAAGGTAGTGGGCCAACAGTATACCAGGTATTTGCCCCTAGTTGTTCTATAAGCTGAGCCTAGTGCCACAGGACCTGATCTATCACTGGTCTGGCTTGCCTCTTGTGATCCTGGCTTCTCAACAATAGAAGATGGACTGCATGCAAACATTTAAAAAAGGGAATTCATTCATTCACTTAATGAAAGATGCTGAAGCTTACCTACTTTGGAAAAGTACAACATTCTTACCTCAATAGTCATTTTCTAATACTCCTAGGAAAAGTTCCATTGGAAGGAAAATCCAACAATTCCAACAGTGTATTCCACAAGTCTCAAAGGTATGGAAAACTGCTGCACTGTTCTCTTGCCAAATTTCAGTGGGCTATCAAGAAGAAGGAAATAGCCAAGACACACTTTTTTTTTTTTTTGGCTGTACTGGGCATTGAACCCAAGGCTTTGAGCATGCTTAGGTGAACATTTTACCAGTGAGCTACACCTGCAGCCCCAGCCCACACTCTTCTTATAGACACAGCTCATGAAACTGGGGCAGGTAACAGATGTTGAATCTAAAATTCTACAAAGGAGCGGGCATAGTGGCGCAAACCTGTGATCCCAGCACTTGGGAGGGTGAGGCAGAAGGATTGCCATAAGTTCAAGGCCAGCCTCAACTACATAGTGAGACCCTGTCTCAAAATAAACATAAAATTCTATAAGGGATTGGAAAATTTAAAGTACTAGCAATGCCTTTATTTAAAACTTAGCTAGGGGCCGGGGATTTAGCTCAGTGGTTCTGCCGCCTGCCTCGCAAGCGCAAGGACCCGAGTTCGATCCCCAGTACCAAAAAAAAAAAAACTTAGCTAAATCTAAAGAGCACTACTTAAGACTGCTTAGGGGTACACTCAGCTGCTTTTCCCTAAATAAGTATTTCTGTTTCATTTACCCTTCTCTTGACAGAGTCTATCAAGAAAGGCAGGCAAATAATATTATTTGGGTTGAAACAGCATAAAGCTCATTCCCTAGCCCTTTTACCCTTACCCTCTCCCAACCCCCATTTCTACTCATCACTTCAAAGTTCCCCACCCTATAGGACTGGAGTAATCTCCTGGGCATGCAATCAGACCGCACTGTTGTGGTTTGATGCCACAGCTAAGTGCTGGCCTGGGCTTCTCAAGCCTTGCAGTTATACCCCAAGTGACCTATTTAGGAGTTGAACATAATTCTCAGAGATAGAGATCCATGATTTTTCCCTCTGGCCCACTTCTCTCTTAGTTCCCAAGCGAAGAATGATCACCTTAAAGGTTTACATGTATGCACACAAACAGTAACATTTGAGGAAAACTCTTTAAAAAATGAAGTAAGCATACAAGCCTTGTATGTGAATTATTTGCCACAGCTTAAATAAACTGCAGACATCTTTCTTAACACACAGCTTACTTCAACACCAACAAACCACAGCCTGCAAAGATGTCTGATATTATAGAATCAGGAGTTTCCTTTGGTATGATAGAATGGCTAAACCAAGCAAAGCCATGAGGACCACAGAGGGATAAAGCAAACAAAAATGATAAGGTAAAACAATCTTTATAAAAAAGCCAAAATGAGTAATGGAATTCTTCCTATATTTAAGATTATGCTTTCAAAAAATGGCAAGCAAGATCAAGTCAAAATTAACCAACTTATTCAGACATTCAACTTATTCAGACACATTTAGTGAGATTAATAGTATAATTTTCATAATGTATTCAGACCAATAATTGGTGACTGTCAATTGAAAAAGTTCACTATACAATTTCCCTCTAAAGCTTTGTTTAAACTGAGAATCAGCAAAATTCTAGCTGATGGTTCAGTGAATGTGGGAATTAAAAGGCTCCCAGCTCACCACAGGGGCCCAGGGGTGATGGGAAGAAAAGCAATGGCAGATTCGTAGTGCCTAATTTCATAATGGATGGGCTTATCTAAACTCAAAGAAGTTTCGGGCATGCATTAGCTTCTCTGCTCTGGTTCGCACAAATGCTGACAGGAGAAAACTACTCCCCCCCCCCGCCCGGGTCACAGCTGAATAATAAAAAGCCTGCAAGTGTGCTTGTATTGCCACAAACAGGGTTCCACATGGAACTTAAGCTTGCTAGTAATCGACAGGCTCCCATATCCCTGTCTGGCCTGGAGGTGAAGTGATGTCTTTGGGCTGGGGTTACAGTCCTCTCTTGCTCACTCTAGCTTATTTCAAAAAGCATCTCATCCAGACCCCAGATCAAAAGAAAAGACTGGTGCTGGGTTCGACGTGGAATTTCTCCTTGCCCTATTAGATGGATGAAAAGTCTAGCACAAGGAAGTAACTGCTTGAGCTAAAGCTGACCCTCTCTCTCTGTCTTTTGTCCTGTCAAAACTGGGAAACATTTCCTGGGAGGTAGCCTACATAATTTGCTAGAAAATGAGAAGGGCAAAAATGAAACACCAAAGTGATCAACATATGGGGAAGCAATAATTAGGGGGAAAGAAATGGTTACCTTGTGTTTGTATTAATTAAGCTATCATTCCCTTGGATATCCCAAGATATCATTTCTGTAGCCCAACCATTGTTTATCTCCATATGTTTCTCATCTGTAATACCACTAGGTATCACACAGCAGTGAGAAGGGGAAAGGGGTCAGCCTCTTTGTTTTCAAGTAGTTTAGTGAGCATTTTATTCAGTGTAATGCTAGCCAAAGGGAAGGAAAAGTAGCTCTGAAAGAGCGAATCAAGTTTTTCATTACTGGGCTAGGGATATAACTTAATGGTAAGAGTACATGCTTAGCACACACAAGGCCTTGGATTTGATCTCTGGCAACACAGGAAAAAAAAGAAAAAGAGTTAAAAAGCTTTACATTACTTAGAATATTTCACCAATCTGCAAGGTGCATGTAGAATTTGCTAACTGTGAATTCAACAACTGCTCTAAGTAGCAGTTAAGATCCTTCTTGCTGAGGGATCAAAAATCAATGATTTCTCCTTTTATGGGTGTCTACTGTATTCCTCAGCTTTTACTTCCTGCACAAATGTG